TGGGTAATAAGATACGGCGCCGCCGGGGCGCCATTGTACCCGCTAATGACGATCTTAGCGGCCGTTACTCGGGCCGATAGTGCGTTTTAGCGTTTATCGCCCCAAATCTGACTGAGAATTGTCCGACGAAATCTATTAACTGCCTAATCCTTCGTCAGATCACTGGGATCGCGCGACAAAAAACTGCCGAGAACTGCGCTGAATAATTCACGGCACATCTGCAGAGGGACGATCGAATCCACATGAGGCCGGGGCCGGTTGATTACATTTAGATACAAATCCGCTCCCCCGAGTTAATCCCGTCTGGTCTGATTTTGCCGCGGTCTGTCGACAGGGAGGCCATTGTTCGGAGGGCTGTCTCAATTCGGTGCAGGCCCGACGAGTGGAGCTGAATCGGCGGCACGGTTTGATCAGAGTCTGCCCGGCGGCGGCGTTGTATAGAAACAGGCCAGTGTTCGACTAGCTAACGCTAAATAAACAATGGAGAAAAGAACGAAAATGAAATTTATGGCACAAGTCAGACTGTGCTGAAAAAGAAAAAGTAGATATGGGAGAGATATGGCAAAAAGAATGACAAAGAACGGAGGGAGAGAGAAAGGGAGGGAGTGAGAGAGAGGATAGAGACAGGAGGAGATTATACAAGAGAAGAGGGACGCGAGCCGGCTGATTCCTTCATTATGTGCGGCGCACGGTTTATTGGTCTAATAACGCGCTCGGCAAGGCGGGCTGTCACCGCGCCGTGTCCCAGACCCGGCCGCCTGATCAGCGCCCGGTTATCAATATCCTCACGAATGATTGGCTGTATCAGTCCCCGTCGTCTGCCCGCGGCCAATATCGCCGCTCGTTCCCCGTTCTTTTTCTGTTCTCATTACTCGTGCTGGCGGCGCCGTGACGGCCGGGTCAGCGCGGCGGCGTCACCCGCCCGGCGGCGACCCGCTGATGTATCCGGCGGGGCGGGGGCGGGGGCGGCACGCCGGTGACGCTCCCATTATCCAGCGGACAGCTGGCAGCCATGGGCGCCGGCGCACAATGGCTGCTGTGGCTGCCGCCGGACGGCGCGCAATCAATGGTGCTCCAGCGGCGGCGGACGCCCCCACAAAGCCGGCCGGCCGGCAGATGCGGCGTGCCGGCCGCAGAATGATGCCGCCGCCCGCCGCCGCCCATTAGCGAGCAACAGGAACCGCGCCCGGCAGAAGCTGGGCGCGGTAGCACGCGCGCGGCCTCTTGTCAGCCGCCCCAGGAACAGCACTGCATGTGTGCTGTTGTGTGACAACGTTATAGGACAACGTCTTCAACCACAGCTGGAACACTGTGCCGAATATCATGCAGTTTCGGTAATGGCCAACATGATTCTACTGGTTTAATGTTCGTCTTACGATAGATGAGTTCCTTTATCCTTTCCCATTTCAGCCAAATACCATTCGTCGTTTGATAATTACGTCTCGTTGCTGGGGGCGCTATTTGTTGCGCTGCACTCGCTCACACAGCCGCCCAGGTATTATGTCGCCACTCATTGTAAGCGACACGGCGGCGACACCCATTCAGGGCAGCTGAGCGGCCGTCGGTTTGCACTGGGAACGGCCAGCTGACGGGCCGGTCGGCGGCGACTCGGGCGGCGGCGCCCGTCCCACCGGCGGGCACTCCATCATCTGTGACCGGCGCCCGCCGACCGCCGCCGGACGGCACACCAACTCGGCCGGATGATGGGATTACATGCCCTTAAGCCTGCCAGAACGGCTGATAACTCCCTCAGAATGCTGCAGTGAGGGCAGCATTACTGGCCTCCATGATGATTACGCGGCCAGGCTGTCAGCAACCACGACTTCCACATCTATTTGGACGGATGCCAAACGCTGCTGTGTCTCAGCAGTAACACTTGTTTTTCCGTCATTTTCTCGCTTCCCATCCAGGCATTTTCCGCTGGCATTTTCCGCTGGCCTGCGTCGTAAGGCGGCGCCGGTTCCTCTCGGGGCGGCCCTCCAGTCCGAGTATGGGCCGACTCAGCAGCACCGGCCGCCTGCCATCCGGAGAGGTGCCGCGTCAGCCGCCGCGCTCTCTGACCCGGCCGAGACCGGTCGACCGACCCCGGCGCCGCCCGCCGCGGCGGTCCGGTCCCCGTCGATAGTCCCCGATGGAGTCACCCCGACGGCACCGAGACGGCCGCACAGTGGAATAGTATCACACACACATGCACGGAACGCCGGGACACGTATACCTCTGTTCCCCCGCCCTAGCTGCCACCGTCTGTCCCCTTCCCACCTGTTTCTCTGCCTCCCGGTAGCCCTTCACCATCTGTGACCATCGCCCACTGACGGTCTGACGCAGCCAGCAGCAGCGGCCGGAAGCCCCCCCCCTGCCGCTGAGCTCTGTCTCTGCTCTGACTGTACCCACTACTGCGCCGTGCGACACTGACACACAACGAGACAGACGCGGCGAACAGGCGGCTCGCGTTGACGGTATTTCGAGGCCTTATGAAAATAAACAGCGCGCACGGCGTTACGGGCAGCACAAACACGGAGCGCGACGGCAACGCAGGGAGGATACGCGAACGAGGCTGGCACCACGGACTGGAATGGAGGACACAGAAGAACTGACATTACGGCCTGGAGGATACGCGAACGGACCTGCCACCGCCGCCCTACCGACCTCACTCAGGGACGACTGGACCCACATAGAGGACTACTGGAGGAAGAGGGAGAGACAGAGGTAATGAGGTTGGAGATGACTCATTAAGGATAGGTGCATTAACAGTGCATGATGGTTAGGGTGTTCCATTTTCCCCAACTTCAGCATTGGCCGACATTTCGATGTCGCCCCATAACCTTGCCATATATCCATGATGTGTGCAAAAACCCAGCTCGATTGAACAATATTTAGATGTCGCGCTCTTTTGAAACTTTTCTGTATGCTAGTTTCATGAAGAATGAAGCTAACACTCGTAGTATCTCAAAGTATTGGCTTGAGCTGCTCCGCGTGCAGATGATTGCGTTCCTGCGAAAGGTTCTCCATGACGGAAGCAACCCACGCGAGGACTACGAGGAGCTTCTCCGTCTGTGCCTCGTGTTCCTCGGAGGAACTGAGGGACAGGTCCGGTTTCGAGTTCCTGGTGCCTATCATCAAGCTAGATGGATGGCCAAAGCCATCTACGCCGTCAAGATGACGCTCTTCATCGACCAGCTTGAGCTGCCAGCTCGCGTTCAACAAGGCCTCCGTCAAGTGGCACTGTTCGTGAGCCTCTTGTACGTCAAGCCCTGGCACGAGGCGCTGATTCCGGAGTACGCCCCGAAGAACGATCTGGAGCTCCTGCAGGCCCTCAACGATTATCCCGACGAGGAAGTCAGCGCACAGGCTACCAAGGCCCTAACCCGCCATCTCTGGTACCTTTCAGAAGACCTCATCGCGTTGGCTTTCTTCGACGACAGAGTCGAGGATGAGGAGAAGAAGCGGATGCTGGAGAACCTGGTGAAGAAGCTGCGTCCAAGAAGGCACTGAAGCGGCTCGATGGGAAAGGATTGCGTGTGGATAACACCACTACCCTGAGCAACTTCGCCACTAGTCGCAGCAAACGGTTGTTCGAGCTGCTGGCGCATCGGGAAGATCATCCCCAGAACCTGATCAAGGACGAGGCACTGAAGAACCGCATCAGGGCCCTGAAGGTGGTGAATGACAGCGCCGAGCGCGGGATCGCCCTCATCAAGCAGTTCGCTGGCGCTGTTAAGGATGAGGAACAGCGCCAGTACCTCCTTCGCGTCGTCCAGCTTCACCGCAGCCAGGTTCCCAAGCGGACCAAGGCCGCCTGCTCGGCCTTCTCACTCTAGAGTGCTACTCGTATGGCGGTCATGAGCGCGACATCTAAATATCGTCCGATTTTGTTCAACGAGGTGTCAATCGCTTTCATTTGAAGTAAGAATACAGGGCAAAATCGAAATGACGATGTGTTTTGATTTTGAATTTTTCTATAGTAATATGGAACACCCTAATGATGGTGCAGGGGCACATACTACATACCAAACTGAAACTGCAGGGTAGTGGATAATTGAACAATCCCGCCCTGTATTGAACAGGGCATGGTTGCAATCAAGGACAGAACAGTGAAAGTCAAGTTCTGCAGCCATCGGAGACCGTGGTCCATGAGTTGGTTTGCGTCCGTCTGATTTGGTGCCGGCTGTTTGCGCCGCCCGTCCCGGTGACGGAGGGCTGTTTCCACACCCGGCTGTTTGCGCCGCCCGTCCCGGTGACGGAGGGCTGTTTCCACACCCGGCTGGGAAGCCGCCCGTCCGGTGACGGAGGGCTGTTTCCACACCCGGCTGGGAAGCCGCCCGTCCGGTGACGGAGGGCTGTTTCCACACCCGGCTGTTGGCGCCGCCCGTCCGGTGACGGAGGGCTGTTTCCACACCCGGCTGGGAAGCCGCCCGTCCGGTGACGGAGGGCTGTTTCCACACCCGGCTGTTTGCGCCGCCCGTCCGGTGACGGAGGGCTGTTTCCACACCCGACTGGGAAGCCGCCCGCTGTTTGATGACGCGCTGACAAGTATTTATAGTTTCCTGGGAATGAGGAACCGAAAACCGGGCCGCGCCGTTTCGGTGATGGATACCTTTTTAACAACAGCACTTCGTGCCTTTCCGCTACAAACGGGCCCCCGTAATCACCTCATGGTGCGTGCAATTCCATTTGAAGCCACGCAACCGGCGCAAGGCGAGTAATGGAGCCGCCGCGGCCGGGACCGGAATGCAAACGACTGGTTTGCCTCCGTCTCGGGAGGCGCCGCTCGGGTCATCGGGGTCGGGGCGGGCGGGCAGGGGTGGTGTCGGGGCGGGGTTTGATGGCCGGCGCTCCCGACAGGCTGATTGCCGAGCTCGTTACTGGCGGCGCCTCTGACGACGGCCGGCCATTCCGGCCGACGACCGCCACTAATCCCGCCTGACCAGGTGCAGAGTCGGACGGCCCCGGTGACCGCCCCCCCCCCCGACCGTCCCCACAGCGCGGCGGCAGGCACTCACCGGTCCGTCTTGGAGACCTCCGACTTGGACGGGCTGCCGATGCTGCGGCTGGACTTGTACGGCGTCAGCGTGTTAGCCGCCGTGTCTGCCGGGAGAGCGGGGACGGAGAGGCGTCAGAGCGGGGACGGAGAGGCGTCAGAGCGGGGACGGAGAGGCGTCAGAGCGGGGACGGAGAGGCGTCAGAGCGGGCCGATCGAACGGCGCGGCCAGCGCGGCCGGCCGACCACCTCTATCCAATTACCAATTACCAATTAAACGGCGCGCCGTTTGGCGCTGAGGCAGCGGCAGCGCTCTGCTCCCGGCCGCCCCGCGCTGTGGTCGCGGGCCGCTGGCCGTCTGGGCCGGATGGCCGGCCTTGGGAGCGAGCCGGGGATATAAGAAGTGGCCGCGGTCCGTGTCCAGGACGAATACAGAGCAGTCGCTGTGCGGACGGAAACCCGCTGACCCACAGAGGATGGCACAGTTACCGCCCGAGACTGTCAAAGCCAATGTATCCCGTACACTTTTTGACAAAGTTCTCGGCCCAGCGCGGCGGCATGCAGCTTCTTGTGACCAGCGCCTTCTTTGTTCTGTCGTAAGCTTTACATAATCATTGCAAATTACAACAGCTAAGTCTGAGTTCGAGTCTTTAAGTGCTCGGCAAACCACTGCATTCTTGCAAGTGGAAATTGGTGATGTTTAACGTTGCATGGTTTAAAGGGACCCTCCCACCTTCAAAAAAGTTAATGAATTGGCATAAAAGTGATGTAGCGTGAATCACAAAGAGCGAAAATGAACATCTACCAAATTTTACCGGAAAATATTCAACCGTTTTCGAGATATAAGACTTTTATTTTTGTTTACTTTTTGGGAACTCCGCTGTTTCTATGACGTCACATAAAGGTTTTCTTTACGTCGGCATTTGGAAGCAATAATTTGGTATCAAAGTGCGACAAATATTGCGCGAATGATGCGTTTATCTTATCAAGGTCAATATATGATGGCCAACAAAGGATTCCAGGACAATTCTTCTTATGGCATTTTTTCGTATCGCAATTCTTCGTCTGCAAATCTTCGTCAGGGCATTTATTCGTATCGCATTACTTTGTCTCGCATCAGGGTATATGAAAATCGGCTCGCATTTCTTCTTCAACGCAAATATATGCAAGAGTAAGCATTGATGGACAAATAAATGCACCGACGAAGATTTGTAGACGAAGAAATGCGGACGAAGAAATGTCATGCGAGGATTCGTTCGGGTACCATGACATTTATGTGATTTCAAAGTCAAGGTTCACAGCTGATCTGCTAAATCAAGCCAAGAATCCAAACTATCAAAAAACTATAAATATTTGTTTGTCTGTCACAGAGGTCTCAAGCAATATAAGGTTGACATATGTATCGTGTCAGACATTGTGATATTTATTCACTTTCGATGATAACACAAAAGCAAATATTCTAAATAGCCAGACGTTTCGGCCTCAGGGTGCCTTCGTCAGTGACAATACCGAGATACTAATACATTAATAAATTAATCAATATAATCTTTTACACTTTCAAAATACACATGACCTGGACATTTTTCAACCATTCTTGGTTGAAAAATGGTTTAAAAGTAACCATTCTTGGTTTAAAATGAACCATTCAGAATGGTTGAAAAATGTCCAGGTCATGTGTAGTTTGAAAGTGTAAAAGATTATATTGATTAATTTATTAATGTATTAGTATCTCAGTATTGTCACTGACGAAGGCACCCTGAGGCCGAAACGTCTGGCTATTTAGAATATTTGCTTTTGTGTTATCATCGAAAGTGAAAAAATATCACAAGGTTGACATATGTTGAATCAAAAATCTACTGCCACAACTCACATCTCCTGCCTTAGTTTATCGTTGTTTTAACTTGCTTTCAAGAGAAACAGAAGCCAGTATCTGATATCACTTCAGATGATTGTTTCAAGATCTGAGTTCAAATGGAATTAAAAGCAAGATCAAGATGAAACAGGGATTATTGCTGTTAAAGTAGTTTGGCCATGATACAACAGGCACATAAATCATTAGCCAAATCAAATACTGGTTGGTTTGTCAAGATGTTTGTTGTCTGTCGTCTGTCGAGCTGCTATGAACACTGAACGCTCTCACTCTTACTTTAAAGAGAGTAGTTTAAGTTGAATGGTAGTGAGCTGTAATTAGACAAAGCAGCTATTCAGTGCTCACATCAAGCCAGGCTAGGAAATGGCATCAACTGTGGTGGGAGGAAGCAGGTTCGGCAGGCCTATGTTGTAAACTTCTGTTGTGTCTTGTGTTTGATCAACTGATGTTTTCTGCTCTGTGTTGTGCAGTGATAGTAGCAGGTAGCGTATATTCGGATTAGCAGGTAACTGCATGCTTGTCAAATTATGTGAATAAACGAATTCATACCATTGCATTTTTCTCTCCATGCAAGGAACAAGTAAGATGTTGTAGAAAATGTAATAGAGGGCTGCATTGCTGATTTCATGCACTTTATCAGAGCTTTATTTAGAATTGCTTTCCTGAAAGCTACACACAGGCCACAGCACTGAAATTCACAATGTCATAGCTTTTGGCAGAAAAAAAGAAAAGACTTGCCTAGGTAAAATTGGCTGAAAGTATGGCAGAGCAGGTCTTGATGCGTATGCCCATCCGTGTGCTTGCCGAAGCCGAACTGACTGCAACACATTAACTCTGACCCACCATGGTGGCTGGCATATCCTGAACTTTCACCACTCTAAACAAGACAACTTTCAGCCCTCAGCATTGTATTAAAACACTGTACATGGCAGTTGACACTCAAAATTTGTTTCAGTGCCATCCACGGACAACATCAGTCGCCATTCACCAGGCCAGTAAAAACAGAATAGATAATAGCTTCAAACCCATGTAGTCAGAGTTACTAGGTCTGCACCTCAAAACAAAATCCAGGTGACATTCACCACGCCAGTAAAAAAAAACAGGTAGGTACTTAGGTAACGTAACAGCTTCAAATCTGGTAACATGTTGGTCGGACTTAACACTACCATATGTACATGGAATAATATGATACCAAACAATAGTGCAACCATTCTGGACAACACAAGTGTATGATAAAATTAATTTAGAATACTTTGGCAGCATGATTTACGAGCACAGGCAGGTGTTACCTACCAGCATAGGCGTCGCCAGAGATTTTCGGTTGGGGGGGGGCAAAATCAACTTTTGTGTTAAAACTTGCCTTTCCCCAGTCTTTACTCACTCGTTTTACATATCATTCGACGCGCAATGGTGCGAGGAATCCGATGGTGACAAAGGTTTTCTTCTAGCTATGACATGTAATTTTTTTACAGAAAAATTCGAAATTTCGAAATTTCATGACAAAAACGACTGGTAGAATTATAGTAGGGGAGACCCGGGAGGTATGGGCCGGTTTTGTGAAAAGGCAATTTTCTTCCAGTGGGCAGTGGCTAGACTCGGTTTTTCACTCTGTGTATGTGAAATTGCCTTTCGCCTGCAACGTGTGCCTGATATTAGGCATCTGGGATCAACTACCCAGTAAACATGCCGACGTCGGCCCGACGTCGGGCCGAGGCTCGGCCCGACGTCGGCCCAGCGTCGGTTCAACCTCGGCCCGACATCGGCTGGACGTCGGATATGCCCGCATGTTCCGACGTCCAGCCGAAGTCCAGCCGACGTCGAGCCGACGTCGGGCCGAGATCGTTTGCCGAGGTTGACGAGATCGTTCGTCGTTGGACCGACGGGGCCGACGTCGGCATGTTTATTGGGACAACGCGCCAAAAATATCAACCGGCGGCGGGCTTCGAGCCCCCCAGTCGCCGACGTCGGCATGTTTACTGGGACAACACGCCAAAAGCATCAGCTGGCGATGGGATTCGAGCCCCGTGTCATTCGAATGCGAGGTTAGTGCGCTAACCACTAGGGTAGACCGGGGCAAGTCGCCCCGCCGAGGTAAAACGCCTCACCGTTGTTTCTCGGAACTGGCAAGGTTCTGGGGAAACATCATCTCTTCTATAAAACGTGCACTATATGATCATTATATGAGCAGACTGGAAAGAAATTGTGATGACTCTTTCGGGAGATATAGCCAAAAATGTGTTTTTTGAGTGATTTTTATGTTTTGTTGTCAGATTATGAATCATGGCGTTCTTTTATGGTCCACATTTGGTTAACGACTTTTATGTATTTTGAACAACTATTGTCTAACGCTTATCATGCCGGGTCGGTTCGTGTTAAATTATGTCTTACTGGAGTGCAAGGCGTTGTTCTCTGACCGAACTACGTGATGGGGTAAAACGCCCCAGTAGGTCGCGGGGCAAAAAGCCCCTGGGGCGTTTTACCTCTTGTGTTGTTGGGGCTACCCACTTTCTAATGTTCGGTAGCTGGCGAACAGTAAGTTTCTATGCCTTTATGTGTATTTTCCTCAGCAACTGGATGGCCAAGGAAGTATTTTGTTAACATTTACATTGCAATAATTTATTATTTGGTCTTATGAGGTAGGTGAAAAACCTGCTCATACAACAGTGTCATATGCTGAGCACCTGACAGGATGGAATGTGCTAACTTCAGTGCCGTGCCTCCAGAGGTCTAACGGACCTCTCACATAAAATTTAGCCAACTACCATGTTAAATCTTTAATCTAAGGTATGGGGCTACTTGCCCCAGGCCGTGGGGCGTTTTGCCCTGGGGTTGGGGCAAAATGCCCCATTTGCAGTTGCTTCACAAATCACTTCCTAGCTTGGAGTCCGATCATAAGTGAATCAATTTGAGGGGTGCAATTTAAAGTAAAATGTCCAAAGAACGCATTGAGCACAAATTTGGCCTTTCAGGTGATGTGGGACAAAATTTATGTAGCAAAATAAATTATCTGGGGCGTCTTGCCCCAGGCTACCCTACACCACGCAACCAGCTAACGAATTTGGTTTGTTTTGTTGGGTTATGCCCTTTCGGTCTGACAAGACCATTTCAGAGCCGGAAGGATCATAGGATGGAGACATTGGTCTTCTTGGCGAGCACCGTGGGTCCAGTTCATATATGTAGAGTCCCTGGTCCCATTGCTGTTACGTGACACTTATTGGAAAGGGCGACCCCACAATG